GGGGTTCAAGGCCAGGCTGGATGTGGCCTTGGGCAACCTGGCCTAGTGAGAGGTGTCCCTGCCCATGGCAGGGGGGTTAGAACTCAATGATCTTCAAGGTCCTTTCCAACCTAAACCATTCTATGATTCTATGTAGTTTTGCCCTGGTATATCTTAGGAATTTTTCACTCTCCATTGTCACTCATAAAACATAGGGTGAGTTGGGCGTAGGATGACCATCCAAAGGACCATCTGCCTAGAAGCCATATTCTGCCTTTTTTTCCCCTGACCCCACATCCATCCTCCTTAGCTCACAAAATAAAATGCTGCAAAATGTAGCGTAAATGCCATTTTGAAGTGTCAAACCTCTCTGTTCCCGCCTCCTCAAGGGAACAGGCAACAAGCCTGCTCCTGTGGGAAGCTGTCCCTAAGCAGGTGCTTGCTATGGAGCAGCAGGAGAGGTTTCCAGGCTGAGAAAGTTGCCTTTGGGCTGGGCACAGCAAAACACACACTTACTTCAGCCAAGTGGAGCTGAGCAGCAGAAACTTCCATTTCAGACAAAAAAGAAACTCCTCCCCATAGCAACAAGTTACCTCCAGAGCAAGTTACCACTCCAGACCAGAGGCACAAGGAACACCAGAAGACTCAGGCTATGATGTAGCATAACTTTAATGAGAAGAAGGAGAAGAAAACAGTTCAGAGCGTGAAAAGTGCATTTCCAGCACTTGATAAAGAAATGGATAAACCCCACTCCAGGACAAGCCAATCCCTACAAGGTTTTCCTCTGCCCCACCACCCCATGACTATCATCTTCTGTCTCTAGCCCACTAGAAGCATTTTCGCCCAGCCAGTAGCAAATGCTGTGTAGCACCACAGGGTGTTGTCACACCTATGTGGAAATATAAAGTAAGGCTTAGCGAGAGAAAGGTATACAGAGGCATGGTCTTGAGTGACAAGCTCTCATGGCTCCCCTACTCCTGGGGGGGGTTGCAGATGCCCCCCACAGCTGGGAAACCCATGGGCATTTCCTTAGTTCTCTTCCCCAGTCTTGGTCCTGTGCTTTGTTTTTCCTTCCTGACACAGCCACTCTGCTAGCATTGGCAGGAGGACGTGACTGCTGGGGACACCCCTACAGCCTGCTACCCAGGCACAGCAGTCCCACCTTCCCCAGCCCCCGGGGACTGCCGGAGGCCATGGGGACCCCACAGCACCGGAGGTAACTCCCGACCGCTGCTGACGCCGTGGACCCCACTGTCGTGTTTTGTGGGTAGGAGCTCAGGATCGGCCCAGGCAGAGTAACCATGACAGTGGGGGGCTGGATGACAGCAGTAGAGTCCCCACAGCGGCGGAAGCAGGGCTGGTTGCAGCTGGCGGCCAGCGGCTGGGGACCACAGGAGGAGGGCAGGCACAGGTCGTAGCAGGACATTGTTCAGCAAGGACGTATACCTGAAAGCCAAAGTCAGGGAGTAAATGCAAGGCAGAGACTGGTCCACCCCTGCTGAGCCCTCATTTAGCAGCTCCCATAATAAGAGATGTGGGCGAGGTAGCTAGAGGGTGAGTTTGGATGGTTTAGAAATGCCGAAGGAAATTTGGAAATTTAGACATTTCCAAATGGGCAGGAGCTGGCTTCCCCCTTCTCTTGCCCCATAAGCCGCTCAGGAGAAAACAAGGAGTTTGGTTTGAGCTCCATGTCTGAGGAAGCTGGAGGCATGAGATGCTGAAAACACTGAAAACAGACCCACTTCTGCACACTGTCTGCCCTCAAGCTGATGGCAAGCCTTCAGCAAGTGAGATGCTCACTGAGACGCATCTAGTTGTAGCAAAACCCACTTAAATCAATACAATGTGAGTGAGCTGGACTTAACGTGAGCTGGGCTATCCCATCCCAAAATACAAGGCACCCCTGCTGCCCTTCTGTAAACAGGAACACATCAATATTTGCAACCCAGGCATGTGCTATTCTTTTCTTTAGCAAGGAAAACCATGCAGGATGCACCCAGCTATGTGGTTGTGGACCCTGCAAGCTCTGCATCCCACAACCCCTTGCACTTTGAATCCCAACTCCTTGTTTCACAGCAGAAATAAACCTTTCCCCAACACCCTCCACAGACAGAAGGGAGGTAGGTAATAAACCTTGAACTCTTGTGGAGGACCAGGCACAAGGCATTGATGAAACCAAAAGCTCAGTGGGGAGAAGGAGACAGAGCCCATCTCAACTTACCCAAGTGGTAGCAGCAGCAGCAGTGGCTGGGAGCAGGTGGTACAGCCAGGTGCCATGCAGGGTTTTTATAGGGTGCACGGCCCCTGGGGGAGCAGGTGCATGCCTTCCACCTGAAACTCCCCAACAACCAGCAGTTTTCTCCTGGAAAGCTCCCCCGGCTGATTAAACAGTTCCCTCTTTCATCTGTCATGTTTTGCTTCCGCTTAATACTGAGTAAGACTGAAATGATTTGGGCTATAGGCATTAATTACCTTGCTTCCTAAGGCCAAAGTACATTTTAGGTCTTATGCCATGAGGCAGGAGAGTGTTTCAGCAGAATTTAGGGCAGGCACATCACTCGCCACCTTCCTCCAAGCACAACCAATTCAGCTCCCCAGTGCATCTAAGGTGAGCTCAGGGATTTAAGCTGAACACGAGAAACACACATCTGTATGTAAACCCTGTGACAGTGGTCTCATCAATGGCAGGAAAACCAGGGGGGCTGCAGGGGTGAGGGTGCTGGGGGACCACGTACAGCTGGGAGAAAAATCCTGGAGGGCCATTTCTCCTGCCCCATCTGCCCAGCTGCTGAAGACACAGACACAGGGACTTAAGACTTGAGCTACCCCAGCATGACCAAATTGTTACGCTTTTGGATCCACTTAGAGGATTTTGCCTTTTTTGGTTATTATTCCTCACATCTGGGGTATGAATTCTGCTTGGAAGGCACATCAGATTTTAAAAGTGAAGTAACCACGGGCTCTGGAGTCCGCCCCTGAATGTGATACACACCAAAACTTACTAATTTTGCACAGTGAGCTGATTTCTGAGACAAGAGCCTTTCCATCCTGCTCTTTCAATATGCTAACAGCGGTGAGCCAGAAGTACACAGCTATGCTTCTTTGTGATGGAGTAACATCATCGAGACATTTTTAATTGCAGGCTGCGGCATGACACCAGATGGCTCTGCTGAAAGCATGTTTGCTGCTAAACAGCCAGGGAGTCACAAAAGTCCTTACCTGCACTTAAACATGAATCACTTGCACATTGGGGAGAGGGAGTTGCTGACACGGTCCCAAGCAGGGGAATGAGCCATCAGGCTTTAGGGGCAAGGAAAGTTTGAAGAAGGCTTTTCATTTCATGCCAGCAGAGCCCAGATGAAGGAAAAAATCTCTACTGCTCTAGAATAAACCATGGTAGTACCAGGGCACATGTACTATGCATGTGTGGAGCTGGGGGTTGTCAGCATCACTGTTAAAGAAATGCCTTGTAGGGTTTCTGGGGTTATTTTAGTTCCTAGGGTGACTTGGCCTTGTATAGCCACAGCTGATAGCACTGAATTGTCCCTAGTGACTCCTTTCTGCCCTGCCTGCAGGGCAAATAAGTCTTTCAGAGGGGCTGGGGTCAAGCCCAGCTATTTTTAACATCACTCTGGAAAGAGGAAATCAGCTTTTCTGAGGTGCAGCAGAAGACATGTGTGTCAGCCAGAAGCAACCTTCCAGCTTGTTGGAGTAAGGTTGGAGGCTGTGGGTTTATCGCAACCTCCTAAATGGTAATTTGGTAAGCAAGAAAAGATGAGGTTTTATTTTAAGCTCTACCTTTCTGCTTTTTGCACCTCTCATGAAGAACAAAATGATGCCATGGGTGCACCTTGAACCCACAGCCTAAGAATTAAACTCTTCTGCCAGTCACAGTTTCTCCCCCTTCACTAATCATCTTCTATCTCTTTTTGTGTGTGTGTGCATCTGTGCATTTCCATGATCCCAGCAAAAGCAGCCCTTGCAGGAGGACTCCCTTCCTGGTTTCCAGACAAAGGCTAGAATCTTCTGATTTGCAGCCTCACTGTATTTTTCAGTTTTGCAACCCAGTTTAAGTACTTGAGGTTCTGCTCACATTGAACCATCATGTCCCAGAAGAATAAACACAGATGCAGAGATGCTTGAAATAAATGCACGGGGACAATTAGAAAGGGCATGTTGCTGAATGTGAGTGTATCTGTGTAGTGAAACAAGTCCTTTGACTGGAGAAGGGGACAAGGGACACAAAAGGCACATGTCAGGAAGTTAAAATAATCAGATTTGTGTAATGAATGAGATTATACCAAAGTAAAACCATAGGGAAAAGAGCTCTTATTGGAAATGCATGGATCCAGGATATGTGGCCATCTAAGCCTTGGTTCCTCCTTCAGATAAGGGCATGATGAGAAACATGGCCCTGGACCATTACTCTCCATGTTTCCCTTTGCATCACTAGCCCCAGCAGCACTTTGAAACTCCAGTTTCACTGCTCTGCATTTTGATTTCCAACAACCCAAGGGTTAGATGTCTCAGACTGGCTGGAGGGTGAAAGCTTGCCCCTGCCTCAAAATGTCTCCTGAAAGGCAAAGGCACATATTGGAGCACCAACAGACCCACTTCATCCCATCTCCAAGGAACACCTGCATCCAGAACTTTCACCCAGGGCTTGCCCCAGGGCCACATCTGACCTGCCAGCAGCATGACATGCAGGGACCACTCCCAGGCAGCTGATGGGCAAGCGGGACACCCTGGTGCCAGGAGGCAGCATCCTGAGGCAGACAGTCACCTGGGCGGCTCCCCCTCCACCGCAGCTGCAGAGCATCCTTGGCTGCCTGTGTCCTTGTCAGGGCAGACTTGGGGTGCTTCAGGGCCACTGTGTGCAGCCCAGGGAGCAGAGCCCAGCCAGTGCCATTGGGGAGCGCCAGGCTCCAGCTGCCATGTGCTGCCCTGGGGCTGCAGACGATCCAGTTTCATGCCGCCACACATACCCTATAATTGTCAGGTCCCTGGGTGGGCTGATGCTCCAAGGTGTCACTGAGACTGGCATGTCCCCCCCCAGGAGGCCTCGTCACCGCATACCAGGACAGAGGCAGGCATGTGCCGGGGTAGACACAGTCCAGCAGGGTTGAAGGGTGTCCCAAGGGAGTCAGCTTGTCTCGTCTTCTGGCTGCCTCTGCCCTGAAAGCCCCCATGTCCCATCCTGTTGCAGCAGCCCCTGTGTCATGCACCACCACCCAAGGAGAAGCCTGCACCCACCACCCCTTCCCATTTCACCATCTCCATCTGCAAGTCGGCGTTTCTCCAGGACTATAAACCCTGTGCACCAAAAATCATGCTTTTTCCCCGGGAAATCTCCTGCATCCCTCTTGCAGGGTGCCTGGCTGTCTGGGTGTGGACATCCCCCTTTCCCAGGGCAGCAGAGCTGGCCAAGCACCACAGCATTCCACAGCAGCAGGATGGGACAAGGACAGTGTTTCCTTACAGCCCAATCACCATTTCTGGCTCAGGAGAGGGAAGCAGCTCCTAGCTGGTTCCCAGGGGCATCTCCCCAAGGCATGGGAAGGAAACATGGCCCCAAGGAATGTCGAAAAGCCAGTGCAGGGCTTGCAGCATGGGCAGCTAAGCCTTAGCATCCTTGCCTTGCCTCCAAGCCACAGCATCACTTGGCCACATCATCTATGGAAAGAAGGGGCAGGAGCAGGGAAGATACCTGCAAGGCTGGCACAACACGTTTCCCCAGCTGCATGCTCTGGGGACATGCTCTGAGAGAGCCGTCCCTCTCTGCAAGATTATCAGGATTTCAGCAGTTTAAAACCTCCCAGCAGGCGGGTCTTTTTACCTCTTTTTTCATCTTGCAGTAGCTCACCTTTCCTCTCCCCAGGAACTTCCACTGTAAGCACTGCTGCAGACACAGGAGGGAGCTTCCAACATGCAGCAGCTATGCTATCCTCAAAAAAGCACAGCTCAGCAAGGCACAGCTTTGTCCAGGATTGGCTTTTGGCTCTCATTGGCATGACAGGGATGCCCAGGGCTTGTGTATGAGATGCAGAAAGGAATAAATTCGCTGACGGAGCAGAAGGGGAAAAAAAGCAGAGTCCAGGCTCAGGGTGTGCCCCCACTGATGCCCAGCCAGCACAGCCAGCCTGTTGCTGACCTTCCCTGCCCATGGTTTGGTGCTTTGCCACCTGAAGAAGACATGGTTGGCTGGCAGGAGGGCGGTTGGCAGGTGGGCTGGGGGAATGGAGGGGTACAGCACCATGCTCCTGCGACTTTGCACAGAAGGGCAATGAAGGTCCCTGATCAACTGGGAGCAGGTTTGGCAAGTGGGAGAAGCAATCCAGAGGCAGACGTGTATTTAACATGAATGAGCAAAACAGAGAAAGGCCAGAGGAAGCCAGTTATGCCAAAGACCTCCCCTTGGATGGCTGTCCCCAAAGCCCCGACGAGGGTGGGATTCGAACCCACGCGTGCAGAGCACAATGGATTAGCAGTCCATCGCCTTCACCACTCGGCCACCTCGTCCCCTATATTACCCTTTTTCTGGTGATTTTTTTCCCCTTCTTGACCAAAGGCTGCAAATCTGTGGCTGGGTCTTCCATGCGTGGCTGTGGCAGCCAGCTGCCCCCCAGCCTGTTGCAGGGCAGCTGGGCAGGGCAGCAAGCAGGTGTTTGCAACTCGTTTGCCCTTCTCCGTGGTCCCTTCTGTCCTTGTATCCAGAGGATGGCAAAGGGCAGGGTGGCATTTATTTTTGCCATAGAAGTGTGTGCCCCAGGCTTTGTTACTTGTTGCAGGTCTCCATCACCCGTGAACCACCACCCACCTAACCTCAACACACGTCCAGAGGGTTTTCCTACAGGATTCAGCAGCAGTTGTGCAAATTAATGGGGAGGACAGTGGCGTTCCAGCCAGCATTGGATGTATCTCTTTATTTCCCAAATCCCCTGGGGTCTGGAGATAGTTTGGGTCATCTCTCCACTATAAGCAGCCCAGGGAGAGGGGGCAGAATGAAACTCCTTCACCCAAGTGGGGTTGATGGGAAAAGAAGCATCTCCACCCCTGGGGGACGCTTCAATGGAGCAGGGCAGAAATAAGCCTCCAGCAGTGCCCCCAGCTTGGGACAGCGAGGAAAAAGAGCCCCTGAGCCCAGGCACCACTGGGATTCAAAACCAGGATCTCCTGTTTACTAGACAGGCACAACCAGCTGAGACATGGCACCCCTCCTGCCATGTGCCCTGTGCCCTGGGGTGACCCCAACACATCTCTATCTGCCACTCTGTCTGCCACTGTCTCCCTGCAGCTGGCAGGGAGGGCAGTCTGGGTAGGCAAAAGCTGGAGATGCTGGGGGTTGAACCCAGGGCCTCTTACATGCAAAGCAAGCGCTCTCCCGCTGAGCTACATCCCCTTGAAGCAGCCTCAGACCTGGCTTTCTTACTGCTCCCAGAAAATCCCACTTGCTGTTTCCTTCCCCAGCCCCACAGAGCTGCTGACTATGGGTTTTGGGGATTTGCAGGCACCAGTTGACCCTTGGGTGCCGGCAGGCTGGCAAGGGGGCTGAGACTGGAAGCATGGCTGTGGGGCAGACATGGGACTTGTTTTTCTGCATGCAGCCCCCAGGCAGAGCTGCCCACCAGGGACATGGTGGAAGAACAGTCTTGCTCTGACGTACCCCACTGCCATTTCCCCAGCCAGAAGGGGCCAAGCCCTGGCCATGGCTGAGCCATGTCTGCCCACAGGGCAGTGGGCAGCACCTTGCTCCTGGCAGTGGCCCTAAGTAAGAATCATAGCCCTAGACCAATGAGCTGTGATGTGCAGCTGCCCGGGCACCCCCCAGCCTGTGCCAGGCACTGTGGCGCTGGGGGAGCAGTGCTGTCTGGGGACACTGGGGCCCCAGGAGCCACTTTGTGGGAATGGGTCCTGCCGCCAGGCCCTGGGGAGCAGAGTGGGGCTGAACGTGTGTGCAGGGATGCACCAGCCATCCCGGAGACTTTTCCACTTCCCAGGAACACAGGGTGCCCAAGAGGGACCAGAGAGTGCCTGGGGTGGGGGCCAGGTGTCCCCCCCAGGGGTAAAAGGCTGGGGCTGTGATGGCCGAGGGGTGAAGGCGTTGGACTCGAAATCCAATAGGGTTTCCCTGCGCAGGTTCGAATCCTGCTCACAGCGTGAGATTTTTACCTGGTGCCCTGGTGCCCACACAGGGGAGCTGCTGTGGGGGTCGGGGTAATTCCAGCCCTGCACATTCTCCCTGGAAAGCAGTTCTTGCAGCAGGGAACCTGCTCCCTGGCTGAATCCCCCACAGCAACACCCCAGGCAGAGCTTGTGATGGCCCCAGTGCAGGAGGGGCACAGGCTCTCCTGCTGTCTTCCAGGTTTTGCAGAACTGGGAAAGGTGAGGAAGCAGCTGTTGAGGGAAGTGGGGTGTGGATCATTTTTCCGAGATGCCGAGTGACACCCCATCATCACCCTGTGCCATGTCCCCAGGAGACCTGGGGTAGCTGATGGCCAGAAAGAGGGAGAGGGCAGCACCCTGGGGCAGCCACCACCTGCACTGTGCACCAAGTTGGCCTGTGCCGTACCCAGGGC